ATCTATGGTTACAAAGTTTTCTATTTTCTATGTTGTGTTGTGTTCTCACATTAGCTGAACAAATTGATCTTACTAAAAAGAATAAATGGCTGGCTTGCTAATTTAGTCCTACATTGATCTTCTTTCCTTCTGTGTTTTATCCACTCAGAATGTCTGATGCACAGTATATAAATTTCTTGTTCATGTAGAATCACAGAATTCTAAATTACAATGCAGTTTCCAAAACTGCAATTCATAAACAGCTGCTCAAGTCTGGCCCTTGTGTTGACAAAACTCCTGTGATGCTGACAAAAGCACTTATATTCTGAAAATCCTTTTGCAAGCAGCTCTAGCTGATCAAGCTGTACACGGCTTATACAAATACAAAAACAAATACGAGGCTAAAGTGCTTTCACTCTCGAGCTCTGAGCAAAACACACAGATTGAGAAAGGCTTTTTGGAAAGTGAAAAAGAAGGAGCTGTTACTATTTACAAGAAGAAGAACGTTGAGCATTTGCTTAGAGCGAGGCTCACAAAGCTCATTTCAATGTCTTGAGGGAATGTTCTTCCTCTCAAAAAGCTAGCCTTCAACCACCGTGCATTGGCCCTGCATCTACAGACTCCAGTCTCTCACCGTGTTCTAGTGATACCCGTGTAAGACCAAACATCTAACTTATCTGACCGAAACATGCATGATTAATCCATCTCAGAAGATTATAGGCAAACCAACCATGACACAATAGTTTGGTTCTGGTTCTTGTGGCAAAGCTGAAGGTACGAAAACGCCTTCTCCGCAAGAAAACATGGTCGTCATCAATTGCTTCTCCGCCAGAAAACGCCTTCTCCGTCATCTATTGATTCTCCGCCAGAAAACGACAGAAGATGCCTTTCTCCGCAGTCGGTCCTCCTATTGCTTCTCCATAGGAAAAGGCCTTTCTCTGGTGCTTTGCAGTGACCTTCTTAGCCATGGTCGTTGTCGGTGCTGATTAGGACCTCGTGGTCTCCGTTTGAGATTGAATCTAAAGCTAGGGCGTGATCTGGCTCCCATATAAAATACAAAGGGTAAAAAGTGTAATTTTAAATACAAATTAAACAAGCTTAAAGAGCACATGAGTAGGGCCATTGGCTTTTAACAAAATAAAATTTATAACTCATCCACCATATCCAAAACAAAAATAGGTAATGTATCATATGTTAATTACTAAAGTTTTTTGTCACTATACACTAATTTTTCTCGAGTTTTATCACATCACAATTTTCTCTTAATATCCATATTTTAGTGAAGAAAAATTAGATTGTTATCAATACAGGGATCTGAGGACGAGACAGACTATAATAACATTATAAATTTATACTCTTCTTAACTATTCTTTAAAGAAGCAATCAAACAAGCCAAAACGAGGTCTAGTCTAGTGGAAAAGGGCATTAACTTGCAGACTGTATTTTCCCAATTCAGAGTATGATGACATGCTAGATATCTCATAAAAGATTGCTCCTCTTGATTAGTAACTACATTATTTTGGTGTTATTACCTTCTATAAAACAAATAATTTGTTTAGTATTAGGTCAAATTAACTAAAAAATTAATATGATGGTGCAAAGCAAGGTTTTGCTTCTTGCCCTTATTTTTTTCACATACTTATATGGTCATTCTTCAACAGCTTCTTCTCCTTCCCTACCGGCCTCGGCTGGTTTGAATGACGAAATATGCCGGTATCTGTTGAATAATTTGGGCCGTGTTCTTCTTGATGAGGAAGTGGACTCTCATCATAAGAACAATTTTTTTGACATTTGGTATGAGGGACCCCATTCCTGAAGACGGAACTGATGGGCTTCTTGACCAAGTATATTATATCAATCTCTTGTGCTTGTGTATATATATTTTCATGTTGATCAATTCTTTCATGTGTATATAATTATAATTAATATTAATTATATTATTTTTTATTACAGGAAATTTGGATTTGCTGAAGCAATCCACATGGAAGAAGCCAAGATTCCTAATAATAGGTGGTTTATGTGGAGGCATATTTGATGTGGCGGGATATTTGATGTGGATGATGCACCTCCCTAATAGAGATGACCCTACTAGTGTACGTAGAGCCCACATGTATTAGAGAGGTGGTTAGCAATATGATCAGTAAATGTGGTCCAAATAGCAACACCTTTTTTTGTACATATTGCAGAACTCTTTAATAAACTCCATTTATACATTGTGTATTAACTTGACTCATTCTCACTGCCCATAGTTTGGGGCAGGAATTTCTCAAATTTTGTGAAAATGTTGAAGAACTAAAAAAAAATGTCATCACATTTACGCTAGATATTGTTGATAAATATAAATTTTCTCAAGATTCAAGTATTTCAATAATAGTTGCAAAATAAATAAAGTAAAATTCAAAATACTAGATTATATTCGATACCGGGACAAGTTTCTGTTAAAAACAATTTGCACTTATTTGTAGAAACGTGTGAGACACCCTTGGTAGGAGAACAAATATGGAGCAAACTTAGAGAGAGAATACATGGTTCTCTTTTCATATTGAATATTATTAAGAAAAGTCTAGTACCGAGAGCACACTTCGAACCCTCTGTTTTTTTGCTTTCCTTTGCATTTCAAATCTTTGATTATATGCTGGATTAAAAGGTAAAATAATATATTAAACACGTGCATGTAGCATCTTATAAGGAATTGTACAAAGCAAGGCTGTTCTTCTCCCATGTACAAAGCAACATTCTCAACTGCAAAGAATTATAATGGTAGGCGATCGTCATCATGCAACTCACCAATAACAACAAAACTTTTTGTACAAATTTACGTAAACAAAAACTCTACTCATGGCACAAACATTCGCTCTTTCTAACCAACTTAATCCAACATCCTTTCCTTTCAAGTCCTTCAATCTTATAGTCGGTAATCCCAGACAAGAAGATGATGCGGCAATCTGTTTACATGGGTTAGTCAACTGAAAAGAAAAAGAGAAAGTGTGAGCATCGTGTGCTCTTCCAGGTTATTGTAATAATTCCGTGTCACATTCCGGGATCGGCTCCGCCATAGCACGATATTGTATACTTTGGGCCCCCCTCTCTGCCCTCACAGTTTTGTTTCTGGGAGCTCACGAGCAACTTCCCAGTGGATCACTCATCCTGGGATTGCTCTAATCCCGACTCGCTTAACTTCGGAGTTCCCATGACTCCCAAGCCAGTGAGCTTCCAAAAAGTCTCATGCTAGATGGAGGTGGGCATGTACAACTTCCTAGTAAGTCACCCATCTTGGGATTGCTCTATCCCCAACTCGCTTAACTTCGGTGTTCCCATGACTCCGAAGCCAGTGAGTTCCCAAAAGGTCTAGTGCTAGATGGAGGTGTGCATGTACATATAAGGCACATCACCCCATCTCCGTTGTTCGATGCGGGATGTTACAATCCACCCCCCTTAGGGGCCCGACGTCTTCGTCAGCACACTCGCACCACACGGCAGAATGACTCTCATACCAAATTGTCGCATCTCGGGATCGGCTCTGCCGTAGCACGATATTGTCAGCTTTGAGCCCCCCTTTCTGCCCTCACGGTTTTGTTTCTGGGAGCTTACGAGTAACTTCTCAGTAGGTCACTCATTCTTCAGAGTTATCATGACTCCAAAGTCAGTGAGCTCCCAAAAGGCATCGTGCTAGATGGAGGCGGGCATGTACATATAAGGCACATCACCCCCTCTCCGTTGTTCGATGCAGGATGTTACATTCCATATATATATACAGAGAGCTTCCATTGAGGGACACCCCTTGTAGGCCCCACTCTGAATTGTATTTCACTAATCCAAACCATCTATTTTGTAGATACTCATTCAAAGATCATCTAAAAAATCACCTGAATTCGATATCATTTGACCACTCAATTGAATTATTGAAATTTTAGTACTTTCTTGAAGCACCGTGTTCATTGATTTTGTAAGACACAATTGGATGTCGAAACGGTTTTCGATTTGTCTAATTTTTTATAAGGATGATCTATGAATGAAGACCTAAAAAATAGATGGTTTGAATCATTGGGAAAAAAATTGTAGGGTACTTTAAAGGGCGTCCCTCAAATAATCTCTTAATAGGAGGGGACTGATATATATATATATATATTTTCACCTTCGATAATCGAAAATTATTTGGTCATTATATTGAAGAACGTAAAGTCTTATATTGAAAATTCAACAAAATAAATACAATATATAATAGGCGGTTCCACTGCTAATAATACCAAGTCATATACCTATTGATGAGTTTTGCAGGTCTGATTAAGTTACCGACAATATCAATATTGGCCATGGGTCCGTATCCGTCAACATAGAGGATAACACTTTAACTGAATGATGTATGTATTATTTTTTCCAAGAAGTTGATGACTTAGATGGTAGCATTATTATATTACATGGAATAAAATATAGAAGATTGAAAATTATCTCCTCTTCTTTGGATTGAAAGGTCATTGTATTCTACCAAACCAAGAATTTACAAGCCCGACGACAATGCCCTTTTTCCAACAAATCAGAGCCACTCATCTGAATAATATGGCCATAGTTTTGTTCTGACCTTCATCCCATCAGATTCCTTCCCAAACGAAGACCCAAAAGCCCACTACCAAATTACCAGTATCCAAAAGCCAAAAGAAATATAAATAACTCTCCCAATTCCAATCCATCCTTCAAATGTCAGCAATATCACCACCAAAATTATACAATAAATAAACAAAAAGGGGATCCTTGTAAATTTCTTCTCTAGCAGTTTACATTTGGCGTTATTCAACCGCAACCAAGTACATACTTTGTTAAGTCACGATCGTTGGATTCGCCTCACTTTTCTAACTTGAATTAAACCACAAGGGACAACTAAACCAAAGCACCACCCCAAAAGTTTTACAACTAGACAATTAAAATTCTCCTTTTTAGGCTTCCAAGTTGCAACTTCTCCAACCAGCCCATCCAAAAGCTTTATAAATGCCAACGAAGGAAAGCTCCCTTTGAGCATCCCACTGCTACCAATCAAAAAAATCCAACTAATCAAGTTAACTACTAGCTAGATCCCAGTCTCAAAGTTTCTAGCAGCTGCCATGGCTTTGGTGGTGAGAGTTTTCTTGGCTGTGGTGCTGGTGGTGACGGCTGCTCTGAAGGTCTCCCATGCAGCTGTTCACAAGGTGGGAGACTCCGCCGGGTGGACCACCATTGGCGGTGTCGACTACAAGAAGTGGGCTGCCTCTAAGACTTTTCACGTTGGTGATGTTATCAGTGAGTTTCTCTCTCAATTTTCTCCTAAGTTTTCTCAGTTCATTTATTATATATTTTAATATTTCTGCATCTCTTATTGCTCCATAAAACAGTGCGTAGTAGCATATAATTATGAGCGCATATATAATATAATTCATATTTATAAATGCAACCTTTTGTTGGGGTGTCTCCATGATTGATATATGTTGGACATGCTTGCCCAGACAAAAGGCTAAACATCTCTTTCTAAATCCCACCCTCTCTGACCCATTATGCACGCGTGCTTTGATGCAATATTATAGCTTTACATTCACGTTCGAAAAGGGTGCAGCAGCATCACTGTACATCTTACGTTCTATTGATACGAGTGATAGTGTAAACTACTCTAGTTTTAAACTTGGATGCAAAGGGGTAGATTCACTGTCTTGGCCAACTGGTCTAACCCAAGTGTGCCTGCTTTTTGATTTGATATCATACAAGACGAAGAAAATAAGAATAGCTAGTATAAAGAATTAAGCAAACCTTTTTTTTTTTTCCCTAAAAGAAAAATCAGCCAAATTTAAAGGAAAAGGGTGCGGATATATGTTAGGGTGTTAGCTATATAGCTCAAGCTTGTGTCAACAAGTGGAGTTTGGTAATATTAGGCAGCTAATTTACTTGGCAATTTAATGAAATGGTCCACAGCAAGATTTTGCTTCTTGGGCGCTGTTCTATATTTCTAGAAATATATCTCATTAGTCTTTTTTTGTGTTTTTGTTCCTTCTTTTGTGTGGGATATCATGATCAGAGTTCGAGTACAATTCTCAATTTCACAACGTAATGCGCGTTACACACCCCATGTACCAGTCATGTAATGCCACAGTCCCCTTGGACTCCTATGCCACTGGAAACGACACCATCACAATCACCACCAAAGGCCACCACTTCTTCATCTGTGGAATCCCCGGTCACTGCCAAGCCGGCCAGAAGGTCGACATCAACGTGCTCCGCCATCCTTTGGCGGCAGCTCCAACTCCTGCATTAGCCTCTCCTGCTGTTCCTGTTGCCCATGTACCGGCAGCACCAGGTCCCAACATGGCTGCTCCAGTAAAATCTGTGAAGGGGCAGTTTGTTGTGCTAGGGTTGGCAATTGCAACACTTGCTGTTCTTGTTTCTGGTCTTGCTTAGTGATGATAATGAGGGAATGTCCCTCAAGTTTATTGGTTTATATGGACAGTAATTTGAGTCTCTTCTTAAGGCTATTTTTTAGGTGGGTAGTGATTTTTATACTTAAATATACAGATTACAGAACTTCTTAATAAATTCCATTGCTTAAAATTTTTGTCATAATGTTCAAGAATTGCAAGAGTACTCATTACATTTGCACTGGCATATGTTGTTAGTGAATGTCAGATTTTTCAGGATTTAAATATACTTCCATTTAAATTTCTTTGGTTCTTATGGGTTTTGGTTAAGACAGATTTCAATTTGGTTTACAACAAAATGGGGAAAATCTCTCACTTTTTCAGAACAACAATGGAGGAAGCTCTTTGTTTCACTTTTAAATCAAGGGCGGTCCCCTCACCCCCCAAAAGAAAAGCGGGTAAGATCAATTTATAAACTAAATTCTAAACAATGTTCGCTTTCAACATAAAGATAAAAATTCTAAACAATGTTCCCGAAAAGAAAAAATGCTGTTACACTAGGGATGTATATTTCAAACCCAATCCTGGAAAGAAAAAATCATACCACAAACCTGGTACAAGTCCTTAATTATTGGTCCCGATTCTGAGTTGGAAGATCCTAAGTTCCAAGTTACGGGTTCTGAATTTAAAGCTCGTTTAGTTGAAGATTTATTTAAAAAGCTCGTTTAGTTCAAGATTTATGTGAATGAGTACGAAATTGCATTCTCCTATTCGGTAAATATAATATATTCGTCTAGAAAGATGCATCAGAAGACTGAAAGCTGAAATTCCTTTCACTAAAAATTTTCTGTAACAAAACTACTCTGATAAATTTATCTTTCTACATTTCACTAGAACTGCCTGAAGTACAATGGATCACATCCTTCCCAGTTGTGAATTCTGTAACCCATCATATCTTTCTACGTTTCTATGTCATATTAATCTGCTGTGTTAACATTACTCTTTCAGTTACATATGTTACAAAATTCAGATGGGTGTGGTCCATTTATCCCACGAGGGGAAATAATTAGTGAACTCTAAGCCCTAGAAACTACGGTGAACTGAGAAAAAGCTGGAAAGAATAAGATTTAGGTGTAAAGAATGGAGAAGGTGGTAAAGAATCAAGTCTTCTACAATAACTGGACCTCGTATTATCAGCCAGACACGCAATGTTATACCAGAAGACTAGTGAGAAGTGGGCGCTCCACATCTCCATTCCTTCCGACTTTACTTCTATCTCGATGCCGAGCTCTGCCATCAGAGAATTAGGAAGAGGATTAACAAATTGAAATTAAACAAGATAACATGCAGTTTTGACAGCATACTAAATTTGGCAAACAGATTGCACTGTCAAGTTGCAGACCTCTGCGTGAGGCAAAATAATAAGTTCCACTGGAGAAAGGATCTATCTGAGCAGTCCATTGAAACAAGCAAGAACAACATGTTTTGATATGTAAAGCTCAGAAATCCTCCAAATAAAAAGATAAAATGATTGACAGACTCGCTGCCAATCAAATATGTCATTCAGGAAACCATATTTAACAGTTACTCTGTAAACTTAAAAACAATTCTCCTCGATGTAGTTTAATGAACATCCGAACTCACCAGTAAGTTTACAAGTCCCCATCACTTGCCAACTGCATCCTAGAATTGGACGGAACTATCAAACTAAATCACCATTAATATGACCCAATACAGGATTAAAACTGACAGAGAAACAAATATCCATACTTTTTGATGGCTTAAGAACACCTAAGTAACAAGTATTCAGCTAGTAAGTGCATTAAGCACACTCCACCCGTTGATAAGCAACTGTGGATTCAGCTTGTGTGTTCTTGTTAGTACAGGTATTCATTGGCTTTACTTTCTATCCAGTATATGCAAAAGGAAGTGTCACACGGTCAAAACCTCTAGCAAAAGAGGCAGAAAGAAAATTGAAAATTGTGTATGCAGATGCTTCAGGATATTATATTAGGAAAGCTTATAAGACGTGCATTATACCATCAACATGTAGAAAATTGAATCTTCTCACTACTATAAGCCTTAAGGGGAAAAAGTAAAGGACAATCCCAATTGAAGTGGAAGAAAATAATGAAAGATTCATGGCCTAAAAGCTAAACTAGAAAGACACCCTCGTAATGCCAGTATACTCAGGATCAAACAATGCAATGTGCCATGTAGTCTCATATCAAAATTATGAATTATATAAAATAATAAAATCTTCTTTATTTTTCTGGTCTGCAAACACATATTTTCTCAGACATATACATCTAGGTATCTTTGTATTCTAGGTGCTAAACAAAAAGCTAGGACTTGAAATCCAAACTCATGCATAGCTCAATCAGTAGTTTACTTTCTTGATAGCGTGAAAGATGTGTGAGAAATTCAAATCTCAGACTTGATCACTTGTATAAAGCTTGTCCCTCGTGTGGTACTTGGCTTCTTTCGAGAAAAGTTAACTACTCACCCACACACCAAAAAAGAAAAAGAAAAAAAAAGACTTTGGCATACACATTGAATCCAAATTTGTACTTGAAGGCCATATACAATGCCACAAGCTTTTCCTATCAAGTTTGGATTATCCCATGCACATCTAGCTATTTTGAGATATTTGACATGAGTAAAGCATCAGAGACCTTACACTAGTCGATTGGAGCTCCATTGAAGCCGAATCCTCGTTTTCCTGCCACACAAACTTTCAAAAGTCATTACTTGGACACCAGTGTTGGTAGAATGTAGTAGGGGGATGGATGGCAATACCTCAATCAATAAATCCTTCCTGGTAATCAAGCCAATCACACGAGATGGCCGGGGTACAACAAATATATGTCTCAGACCCAGTTGGCGGAAAAGATTATATACCTGCATCATCAAGTGCAACATAAATCTAATAAGACTAGAACTATGTGACATGGTAAGAAACTAGGAAGTCATAAATTGCAACGAAATTCTCGCCTTTGTCAAAGACATATCCTCAGGGACAATGTAAGGAGATGGGTTCAAAAAGGGGGCAAGATCTATGTACATTTCCAAGTCATCTGAACTAAGACGTATATCATGTATAGATAATCCTTTACTGGAAGCAGGTTTCACAAATTCACTTATAGTGTGCCTGCAGTACAGAGGATCTGTCAAAAATCTCATAGTAAAAGGGAAGGGCCAGACTACAAACCAACTTCAAGCCTCCACTTGCCTGATAGACCTGGATCCTCTTGGATCACAGGGCAAGGGACTATGCTGGAAATCCACCTTCGACTGCAGAAGTACCAACAAGTGACTGCATCACAAACCACATACTAATGTTAATTTTTAGAACATTTACCTTCTTCATACATGAAATCAGACATAAATGTGAAACATATAAACACCATACCTACGCAGCATTAGTCCAATGACAAGTGTTTCTCCATTTCTTGCATGATCAATCACCTGAAATGAAGATAACATGAAACACAAACTTATATATCAAACGATAGAAAGAGGGGTAGAGAGAGAGAGAAGAAAAAACAAAAGTGTAACATACAGGGAAGCCATTATGGTTGTTGCTCCGCAAAATTGAAACCACATCTGCAACCTTAACAACACGAGGGAAGGAAATAACCTACACAGAAAAAAAAAAATAATAATGAGCACAGTGAGCTTACTATTACAATGAATAAAAGGAAAGAGTAAAGAAATCAATGCACTGTGGATCGCCAGAGCACAGGGACCCATGTACAATAGGTTCAAAATGAAAAATGCATCAAACAAAATAAAGAACACGGTGTTGAACTTGAAATCAGAAAGACCGCCTTCTGAGGTTATTAAGGTATGGGCATCCACTTTCGTATGATAACAGAAGGTTTTTCTTTCAACCTTCTTCTCTGCCTTCATTTCAATGTTTTCCCTGTTGAGTGAGAACTAAACAAAAGGCTCCCTAGCTTGGAATTGTCAGTTATCTATCACAATGATATCACCAGCAGAACCCATTTTCAAAGGATTCAAATCAATTTGGCCATAATCCTTGGAGTTTAAGGTGGCTCATACTTGGGATAGGTGTCTTTGAAGTTGAATGGATCAGAGTAGGGAAGTTCAAGACAAGTGAAAATCTCTAGGCACATTTATACATGGGCTCCGTACTAATGTATACATATGAGGGGTCAGTCATGCTAAATATGCTAAATTAAAGTGACATTCACCCTTTTTCCAGAGGCCTCCTTCGCAGTCATCTTCCGCATTTGGTACTTGGGTCTTGATTCCAGTAGTGGAATGCTCCTTAATCGTGCCTGTTCTTCATACAGGCCTTCATTGAAAGCATCACCAACAGCCTGCAAAGCTAAAAGATTTAAGTATCTCTCCACAGAGTCTATTAATGTAATACAAAGTTTCAGAAAGTGTACCTTTGAAATAAGAAGAACAAGCATGATAAGAGGCAAAAGTTTCAAATTATTGGTGATTTCAACCATAATGACACATAGAGACACTGTCATCCGCATTGAACCTCCAAGAAAAGAAGCCGCACCGAGTAGTGCATATCTGCAGAACCAGCAAGCATAAAAGTGCATTTAGTTTTAAAGCTCTGTTAGTAGTATAAAATGTAGCAGATTAAATCTGAGTATCAAAGATCATAAAGGCTCAAGAGACTCACGTTCCCTCTTCAATGTTGAGCTTCTTGTAAACTTTAACAACAAACATGCCAACTAGACGCCCATACGTTGATCCTATCATTATCCCAGGAACAAATTGACCAGCTGGAACAGCTGTACCAAATGTCACAACTGCTAATGAATAAAACATAACCTGAAATGCATTAGGAAAACAAAGTCACGTAAAAATAAAACTCAAGGGAGCAATAAGAGAAAAATTCTCTGGGAACTTAAATAGTCAAATTACATTTTTATTGAAACTGCCAGGCTGCCCAGTAAAAAGGACTGCCAAGACCTTAGAACAGTATCTTAGAAGGCCCATTAGTTTTAGAGTTAAAATTCATTTTCCTAGGGTAAATATACTTTCGTATCTTAGAAACTCCAAGCCCCTTAGGCAGGTTCTAATCTTCCTACCTTCTATATATTATTTTCATACTTCCAGGGATGTCCATGTGCAAGTACTCATTCATGTACCTTCATTTGTTTCTGAGTCTTAAAATTTCCTTTTCACTCAATTATTTTTCCAACTAGATCGGATATGGAACAGCTACCCCTCTCAAGGAGAGTGAGATTTTGTCACCATGGCCAATACATAAGACCAACAGTACCCAAATGACAAAAAACCAACACGCAAAGTAGAGGAGCCTGGTCAATTCATCATCTAAAGACAAAAAAAAAATGTTGTGTGTGAGCAGTATATATGCACCAAAGGCAATAGCTAAGTAAATAGAAGCAATACCAAGAAGGTCAATAAACTTTGGGCACTGTACTCATGAATTGTTTTTGCACTAAACAAGTTCCTGATTGCATCATCCTGCAACAACAAAAAACAAATCTGTAATAAAACAAACGACGCGACCTGCAAACTTATATGTAAAGAAGATAAATTATTCCAAAATTCTCAAAACCTGAGTGTTGAAGAAAATTGTCGCCAGATCATTGTATTCCTTGTCCTTGCTGCAATAAAACTGGAAATGGCCTAGAATTAGGAATGGATATTCTAAAGCAGCCTCAGAATTCTCAGAATTCAAACACAAACCCAAAACTACTCAACACTTAAATGAAGATGAAGCTTACTAATAAAGCAAGATGTGTTTTTAATCTGTACGAGTAACTTAGGCTCACATGAGAAACTCTAAATTGAAGTCTTAAAAACAACTGCTGAGCTCTCCCAAGAAAATTAACAAGAAGTATTTCTGATATCTTTTAAAACCATGAAACGCAGGAGGCTTCCACATGCACTGAGCAACTCCAAATAATTCACAATTTAATCTAACAATTATCTCAGAGATGTACTTCGTAACCTAGTTATTATCTTTCTTTTTTATTAAAAGAGTAGACACGTGCACCTTCAGGTTTAAGTTTGGCTATGCAATTTCCACATCGTTATATGACTATGAGTGAAAATAATAGTAAGGTTTTTTCAATTTATGCTAAATACAAGAAAGAAAGAAAGAAATCATCTCAAAATAGTTGAGAGCAAATAATTATCAGTCAACATCTTACATTTACATAATTCCCATACATTCCTGGAGGCCTTGGGCATTCAATACCAGAATCTGGATCTGCTTCAGGGCATGGACTGCAATTTCTTAAAAGGGGTAAACCAAAGGAAATAATTGATGTTATCAGAGAGATGAGGCACGCTTCAATTATCTGCATTTTGGGGTTCACCAGGAAGGGACAAGAAGACAGTTGAAGCCAACCGTAGAGGAAAAACATAAATTTCATTGACTACGTCAAAAACCCACCTTGACTCGATTCCCATTTTTGTGCAAATAATTCCGGCGCCAGTAAGCAATATAAAATGTAAGCTGGTTAAATAAGGCTCCTGAAAAAGAGAACAATTTGAAAATAAAGTTTAATTTCATGAGAAACATAAAACAGAAAAGAGCATGGACACTTTCATAGCTCAGGCGACAAACACATACCCAGTAGACCTCCAATAACTCCAATAACTGCCATCGGCAAGAACTCCTCAAAAGAGTAGTCCTCTTGACCACTAAATGAAATTAATTAGGATGTTAGAAAAGGCTAAAAACTGAGAAAAAAATACAGAACTAAAGAAAGTTTTAGATCTTTTCAGAAAAATGAAGAAAATTTAGATCTTAACTCAGATATGTCCCATATTATGAAGCCACCTGACCCAAAATGTCCACACTTTCCACTCTTACACCATCCCATTGCAGTACGCACCACAACAGCCACAATAGCAGAAGTGAAAAAGACCCGCCACATAAGTTGACTCTTCCACCTTATAACAAAAACATAAAAGTTGATGAAATACAAAAGAAAAATGCTTACAAGAAAATGAGTTTGAAATATTTTTTAATTTTAACTCAACAATACTAGCATATATAAATATAACTATCTGCATGAATCCACAAGAAACGCACACTGCATATTTGAAGAAATAACTTCTTCTTTTTTTAATAGAAACGATTATATTGATAAACAAGAGGAAAGGCAATCCTCAAGCGAACTACGAGACAAGAAACTAAAAGATCGAAACACAACGAAACATAAAGACCCACACACTGGCAAGAAATAACTATATTAAAAATCAGACATTAACTGCATGATCAAGAATGGAACTGCATTACCATGATGTAACTTCCTCCAATGCAAATAGTACGCCGCCAACAGGAGCTCTAAAAGCAGCAGAAACTCCGGCTGCACACCCACAGGTTACCTTTTCAAAAATCACAAAAATGCAAAATGAGCACAATTTTGAGGTGCATGACTTCTATCACCAGAGTTGGACATATCTAAGAATACCAAGGAAGATGGTAAGAACAGTACTTGGATATTTTTAACATAACAGACAAACATACAATAAATAAATGGTTCAAGACTGTTATAGGGTGCCTACGTTTTTCTTTCAACAGAACAGAACGCCATATATGAACTAGATTCTGGATACCATCAGGGGAGGACAAAAAACGACAGCTACAACTACAAAGCTCATGAACTTGACGACTAGCAAGTATGGAAGTCGTGAATAGAAACTAGTCAAAGGAGATTACCATGCCTATGATTAATTCGCAATGGAATTTGACAAAAATCTAGTTCCAGGCAGGTGAAATTTTTAGAGTTCAGACAATAAACCTGAAAGTCATAAATCACTCACCAGATCTCGACGATCTCTGTCGCTATTAAAAATTTGTAGCCACCTGGATCTTAGATGGTATTTTGAAGATCCACCCTGTATTCAGATATGACCACAATAATTTTTAAAAGAAAAATTGTATGTAACTCGGACACTAGAAAGATATTATAATATGTGACATCAAAAACATGGTTTTTAAGAACTTGTGCATGACAATTAAGATTATAAATATATATAAATAAATAAAAACAAGAATGTGCAAACAATAGCCAACATACTCCAGAAGTTGAACGAAGAACTAATTGGAAGCCTTCAAAAAGAGCAGTATGTATGTTCTTACTTGTCCAAGCAAAGAAGCAATACAAGCACCAGTATGAACAAGAGGGCCCTCTTTGCCTAAAGCTAGACCACCTCCCACTGACCCAATGCTCCCAAATATCTGCGCAGTTTCCAGAAGACTATAACTCAAAGTACATTATTTAAATCTCAGCAAATAAATAGAAAGCCAAAACAGGTAATCACACCTTTCCAATCAAGGTTCTGAAAAGAAGTATACCAGGCATATCAACCCCTGTACATTTGATTAACAATCAGCAGGACACTTGGCTGATAAAATTAGCAATACTCAATAGAAATACATTATAAGTCCAACTTACCATTCAAATATCCCTTGATTTCTGGAATACCGGAACCAGCTGCTGCGGGTGCAAATTGTGTAACAATATATACAGAGGAAAAAACCAAAACTAAGTTGATTAATACGTATACCAAAAAACCAGCCACGTATGATTTTTGTATTATAGCAAATGTCAATGCAAACTTCCAGCCTGCAAAGTTCTCAACGGAAAGATTGATGAAAACAGCAGCTAATCCAGTGCCTGAAAGCAATAAAAAAAGAATTCGTAAAATGAATAGAAGGTCTGAGGAGTTAAAACCAAAGTAAATAGACCACCAAACAAAATTTTAATACTGAATTCTACTCCAATTTGGTTCCTTTGAAGTGACACTACTACACAAAAGCTATACAATTGGTGCCATAGCCAATAAATGCTTACCGATACCGATGAGCAAAGCAAAGAACCACTTCACCATCACATAATATCCAACATAAAGCTTCCCTCTCTGAGCCTGTAGATATGAAAACACACAAAATTAACCCCAGAAAAAAAAAAACGAACATTTCTACAAAGTTGACGTTCAATTAAGCTCAGAAGTGTGACCTGTTCTTCCCAATAAGCGTAATTCTCAATGACTTCATAGTCGAGGCTCTCGATGCTGCTCTCGTCGCTCTTCTTGATGAGGCCGACGGTGTCAGGCTCGCCGTCCTCCGAGTTCGGAAGACGAGACCAGGCGAGCTTCGGCGCCTCGATCCCGTTATGCAAATGATTCGACAGCATGATTGCTCCAAACTCGGATTTCGGATCAAACCCTAGAAATTCCGAATTCGAAATCGGAGCCGGTACAGCATAACAGATCGGAGATTAAAGAGAAGTAAATTGAATTAACCAAATCTTATTCGGAATCCGAGAAAGTGCTTTTGAAGAAGAGAAGTGAGAGATGAGGTGTTGGCTGACTTTGGCGGTAAAAGTTAGAACCGTGACTGACTCTCTCTCTATCTCTGTCTCCTTTGCTGTGTGTGGCTTTGTTCTGTCCTTTTACTATTTTCTTTGCGTGCGTTTGACTGTGACTCTGAAAACTGATCGCTTTGCAACGAAGCAGGTGTTACGCGCTCTGGGATAGGATCTTCTGCGGCAGCAGTTGTGAGATTTTGGGGGTCTAGTGAATGGACGGCTGGATGGTGACCTAATAATTCTTGAGATCGGCGGTTATATAAGAACAAGGCGAATTTTGGAATTTTGGAATGTTGTGCTGTTAGCGTGGGTGGCCTGGGATACAAGTGCACAGTAAGGTTGAGGGTAGTAGTGTAGGGGAGGGTAGCCCGTGGGGTCGGCTGAACGGAATTTTGGACTTACGGTTGAGGAAAATAAAATGTTTTTTTTTATAAATATATGGTATGGTGGTTGGCGACTTGGTGCGTTGGTGGGGACGTGTCCAACCGAGGCGGGCAAAGGCGCGTGGTTTATAATCATTGTTTAGTCCATGGATGGATGCCGCTATATCAATGTCATCTCTATTTTTGGTAATCCGAAATAACATAGAATTGAACATTAGTAACAAGTATATTTTTGTTTCGGATATATAGAGATGTTGAGTACCATTCTAGAAAATAAAAATATATGAGCAGTGCTAGCTAAAGGTGCATTTTGTTGCGGGTTTTTGACACGCTAAGGTGTTACTTAGGTTTGAATTTGAGACCATTGATTTGCAAATCAATGTCATTTTCCATTTAGTTTTTAAATACATTAAATAAATAGATTTATGTATAAGTTGGCAAAAAATGAATGAGAAAGGAAAGAAGAGAAAGGCAAGAGAGGAAGGTGGCTGACATTACTCAAAATAATATTAAGTGATTATAGCAGTTGTTGTCATAGCTTAGGTAATTACGAACAAATATTCATGCATCATAGATCATGTGTTTGAATTTCTCCTTCTCTCTCGTTTGTACAAAAATATAAGTAAAAAAGTAGTGATTTTTCCGTATTTATATTGTCGGATTTAAGACCATATAAATGAGCACAATGGGTATCTTATCTCTTTTAGGGGTTGAAATTGTCACCTAAAAACTTAGCTAGGCTAGATTTTGGTGGGTATGTTATCTTTGTGTGGTTAATTTCCAAAATAAAAAATGGCTCTTTTAGTGGTCCATGATGAAACTCCATTCATTCTACTTTGTGAGCCAAAAGTCATACATGAGGGATTTAAGCACGTAAACGATCGGCAATTGGCAATTGACAAATGCATTCCAAGTCTGAAGTCACGACTAATAGTTATAGTACCGCCAATATAAAAGAGTGATTCTACCATTTCCTCGAAGAATAAAAAATTAACTTAGAAAACGAAATAATATAGAATTTCAATGTCCTATAAAGAAGGTTTGTTGCTTCAAACTTCAAAGCAGCCAAAAGATGCAAAGTATTATTTTATTATAGAAATAAGCTGTCATAACATGTGATGAACAGCACCAAACAGAACACTTATCAGTCAAAACTCTGTCACAAGGTTTCAGTTTGCCTTTAACATATAATATAACAACACTTTCCCATCTACCTTCTCGCCTATCAAAATTATGTTCTGAAAAATAATGTATGTTTATTAAAATAATATAATTTTTGGTACATTGTATTGTAATGAGTAAATTGATATTATTATATGATTTTCTTTTAGAAACAAATAAAAAACCGAAGCAAGGTATGAGACGCTTTGACCTATGTCTTCCATTACGTCACCTCCAGAGCATCTCTGATGCTTGGCGTGGCTTGGCTTGGCATCCTTTCTCTACTCAGTTGCTTTTGTTATTTCTTTTTTTCCATCCTGTTCTTGTCTCTCCTCTTTCATTTTTCCATATTTTTCTTTGAATTCTTTTGCGGCTGGCTGAGAGCATCAGTTTAACTGATCCTCATACTATCACTTAAAGTTTTGAAGGGGCGGGATCAGAAGTCGAGAGCTCCGAATACATAGTTGATATCTCTTTTGCAAAGTATTCCTTCGCTTGAGGTCTCTTGATCTGAAGAAGTCGAGAAGAAAGTGAGAATGTGATGTTAATTCATCCATGCATTTGCTATCAATCTTTTGAAACTGAACACTTGCCTTAAATGTTGGAGTGAGCAGACCATTCTCTATCGTGAATGGTTCAAGCACCAGTGTCACAGCTTTCACAAATTCAAAACCTCTCAACTGAAGTGAAATATATAGAATTATTTATTAAGAAAAAAGTTCAAAGCGTAAATCTGAACAAAGTGCAAGGTAGCCCTGAGTGAGCTATTAGAACGCTTGCCTGAGCTTCCCTGCCAACAGCATCCATATCAGCCAATACAGCTGCCCTTGCTCTAAGGTCATTGCACAGTTGCCCTAAATCTTGATACTGCACCCACACCACCAGAGAACCATGAATAAAATATCATATTTCTGCAGCTAATGCCCATGTCCTTAGACGTAGAAAGAAATGAGGGAGTAAACACAATTCCCTCAATGTGCACCTTACTTTAGTTAAATTAAGGATCCCTTAGAAGGGCCCTTTATGTATGTAGATGTAATATTATAATATTCTTATTTTGTTTATAGCACCAAACCTCCAACACCTCGATCCTTAGAAAGGTAAACTTTCAAATGTGCATGTTTTCCCTTTTCTCTCCAAATAATAGAAAGACACCAAATCTAGACTTTGTAACTAAGATTTTTGCAGACTTGCTTCTTTTTTCATATGGAAGTTCTAAAATTAAAATTGGCCATGATAGTTGGACAGAATATGCAGGACATTTAAGACAAAATTAGTTCAGTGATCTAGATGAGTCAATCACTGTAAACCTGGAAGCAGTAATTCTATATGATCAGACATATATGTGATGAGACCGTATGTTTACTCGTCTTACATACCACTATTTCCATATATGCAGGGGAGAAAAGATCTATTGCACTTAATCTGCTTCTAATTTGTATAAATTTTGACAAGTTAATGCATGAAGATGTCAACTAGTTGTAGGTAAATGGAAGGCCAAATACTTTTCTATGTGCATGTGCAAAAATGTAAACCAAACTTCACTCAAGTCCTCGAGCATAGAAATTATTTTCATTTTGTGCGACTGAAATGTCATATCTGACCTTAATGCCTTCAGAATCAGCCCATGCTTTCAAGACATCTGGGTCAACTGACACAATTGCTACCAAAGAAGAATTTAGGCTGTCACCTACCAGTAGCAGCAAATAAGAAGTCAGCAGCCCATAAGTATGTCTGTGCGTGTGCGTGTGCGTGTGTGTGTGTGTGAGAGAGAGAGAGAGAGAGAGAGAGAGAGAGAGAGAGAGAGTAAATTCTTATTTCTTACCATGGACAAAGCACTGGGCAACAAACTTGCACTTGGCATAAACATTCTCAATTTTCTCTGGAGCTATATACTCTCCTTGTGCCAACTTGAAAATGTTCTTCTTCCTATGGGCATACAAAACCTTCAGTTATAGGCGTAAGGCCACATGCTAAACAGACACTAATATGCTCTAATCATGACAAATCCTGTAAGTTTGATAAATATCTCTCTATATGTGGGGTAAATCTTCTTTTTTTCTGAATAGTTCCTTTCTCTCAATAAACCTCACGGTTCGTTTGACCCTTAGTAAAACCATAGAATATAAACCCATGCTACAGCACATGTCTGATCCTAATTGTCCAAAAATATAGTGTACCTCATTAAGGGCCATCACCAATTCAAACGGGTTTTAGCAGCCTCATATAAGATGATAAAGAAGCCACTATTGTAGCAGATATATATATTGAACTTCAGAGTTACCAAGTTGAAATTTTCACACTAAGGGCTCGTTTGGGAGTGATTCTTGATAGGCCAAAAATCACTTCCATGGAGAATCACTACTCCATATAATCACTTTTAAGTGATTTTAAGCGATTTTGGGGAGAAGCACACTTTAAGTGGTTTTAAGTGATTTTATGGAGAACTCCCATGTGCTTCTCCCCAAAATCATTTAAAATCACTTAAAGTGATTATATGGAGAAGCATGGTAGGTGTTTCTCCCCACAAGTGATTTATGGCCCGCGCATAATCACTCCCAAGCAAGCCCAGGAAAGGTGCAAGGCAAATCACCTCAGAGTTATCAGGTTGACTATACCTTTGCAAAGTAAAGTTATACATGGGCAACCCCCATATGTGGAAAGTATCACAGTTTGAAAATATAAAGCAGAAGCAGCATCAATAAATCTGAGAATACCATTTAGGATGGTATGATCTCACCTATCAATGATTTTCAGACGACCTCCCGGTGACCACAGCCCAATATCTCCAGTATGAAGCCATCCATCTTCATCGACCACTTCTCTCCTGTTCATTAGGAATATATTATCCAACTAATTTAATATCTGACTAAAGGAATATCATTTAAAACAAGATTTAACAGGTAAGTTAAATACGTCTGCACTTCATCTTTATGATAGCCTTGGAAAATAATAGGACCCCTGACACAGATTTCACCACGAGGATAGGGTTGATCCTCAGACGTGTAGTTCATCTCTGGTACATCAACAAGTTTTATTTCTGAAATCAAAAATAGGAAATCAAATATTAGCCCAAGGTAAAAGCAGAATGTATAAGGTGAAATAAATCTTATATGAAGAAAACCTTCTTTTCTACACTCTTTGATTCCATGGGTAGAAATGTTAAAGAAAAATAAGAAGCTAAAATTTGTGGTTCGCATTATATGCAATAAACCTAACTGATGCCAATAAATAGGTGTGTTAAACTCACAGAATCAATTGGCAATAACTCACCACAAGCTGGATTAGGAGAGCCAACATGGCCATATAGGTTGTCACCCCCATCCACAGAACTAATAACACAAGAAGTCTCCGTCATTCCATATCCTTCACTTACTTCACCACCAATGCATCTGAAAATAAATCGTCAATAGTTATAAGCCCAGTTGGGAAAAAAAACAAAACAATAAGATAAAATAAACAACCATATGTGACTCCTTCTAGGCATTCAAACGACTTACATCTTCAAAAATTCCATGACATCAGGAGAC